TCTGGTGGGCCTGCATAAACTCGGTGGTGGCAATCGCAGCAGCAAATGCAGCAGCAGCAGCAGCACCTGCTGCAGCAGCAACAACTGCAGCAGCAGAAGCTGCCGCAGCAGCAACTGAAGCAGCAGCAGCAGCAAGTTCAGCAGCAAGTGCAGCAGCAGTCGTCTGGAAGTGTAGCAGACCGTAGCTGCAGCAGCAGCAGCAGCAGCAGCAGCAGGAGCAGCAGCAGTAAGAGGAGCCAGTGCTTTGCTGCTGCTGCTGCTGCTGCTGCTGCTGCTGCTGCTGCTGCTGCTGCAGCTTGCCTGCAAACGCATGCAATTTGTTTTTTGTTTGGGGTGTATAGGCAGCTCCAATGAGCTGAGATATTTAGAAGGTGTTTATACACAGACAGCAGCAAACACTCATGCCGCCGCTGCCCCTGCTGCTGCTGCAGCAAACGCTCATGCTGCAGCACATGCTGCTGCTGCTGCTGCTGCTGCTAATGCTGCTGCGCCGGCCCCTGTCCGGCAGCAGCAGCAGATGCAGCAGCAGCAGGTGTGGATACAGCAGCAGCAGCAGCAGCAGCAACAGCAGCAACTCTTGCTGCTGCTGCTGCTGCTGCAGCAGCAGCAGCATGGCGGCTAAAAATTTAATTTTTTGTGTTTTAAAATTTGCCTAAGAAATGCAGCGCGCAGTTCGAGCACCAAATGCAGCAGCAGCAGCAGCAGCAGCAGCAGCAGCAGCAGCAGCAGCAGCAGTGTAGTGGTAGTAGCATTCTTTTTGTTAGATGGATAGAGAGATACAGCTGAGGCACACCTATTCTATTGCTGCTGTTTCTGCTGCTGCTGCTGCTGCTGCTGCTGCTGCTGCTGCAGCAGCAGCACTGTCTGATACATTTTAGTATTTAAGAGTTTCCGTGCTGCTGCTGGTGTTGCTGCTGCTGTTGCTTTTCGCTGCTGATGCTGCAGCGCTAGCGTCGCTCTGCCCGCTCGAGTGGCTCACAGCAGCAGCAGCAGCAGCAGCAGCAGCAGCGTGGCTGTGTCCATGCGTTGAACTGTGCGGCCCGTCGTTGCTTCTCTTGCTGCTGCTGTTGCTGCTGCTGTTGCTGCTGCTGTTGCTGCTATCATTGCTGCTGCTGGAAGTGCTGCTGCAGCAGCTGTTTGCGGCTGTTGTTTCTGCTGCAGTTTGCTGCTGCTGCTGCTGCTGCTGC